GGAAAATATTATTATTTCCTATGGTTGATTTAAATTTTTGATTTTATATGTCATAATCTTACTCTCATATGTGCTACCTTTTCGTTTATGCCAAAAGGGAAAACTGAGTAAAATAGATTTGAAAAGCATTAAAAATAATGGAGGGAAGAAGAGTGAAATGATATGCTTTGAATGATTAAATGATATGTTTTGAAACCATCTATTATTTGATGTTTTAAATGAATGACAATTACTTTGCAAAGACAGGGAAAATATGTTTTAGATGTGAGATCTTTATTCCTTGTTGCTATTATTTTGCAAATCATCTTATTTGTTATAATCAAAATGAAAAAAATTATTGACCTATGGTTGATTTAACAAACAAGTTAATCTTGTTTACTAAATAGTTGAATTTAAAGTGATTATAGTTTTTAAAGCATCCAATGATAAATTGATCGATCGTCGTCAAAACATTAAAATCAAAACTATCACAAATCGAACCCAAGAAGAAGGTGAAGATCGAAGTCGCACATTCAAGACAAGTCCTATGAGAAAAGATCCTAAAAGACAAATGTAAAAGAAAAATCAAGATCAAGAGTTTAAAAGCCAAGTGTCAAAGAAAGATCAAAGTGAGAGCCTAAGAGCCAAACTTCAAAGTAAGATCAAATACTAGATTTTTAGTTTAAATATAAAGGTACTAATACTTTGATCTTCAATAATGAATGATAAAAGCTCAAAAATCATTTTGTGTACTAAATGCTATTTTGTATATCATTTGCATAAAATATTTGGATCAAAAGAAAAATTAATTTTCAAAATTATGTTTGAACTTAGATCATATTTTTAAAATATCATTTGCCTTGAAAACTAGTTAAAAACTCCTTCCAAGAGTCTACATTTGTTAAAATATTAAAAATAGATCAAACAAGGTCAAAAAGGGAAAAATTGATCGAAATGATCGAACATCCGATTTGAACATGGGGACGTCTGGATGCTCGTCCGGATTCCTAGAAAGTTTTGCAAAATCTTTCTCTATAGATGCGAATGTCTAATTGATGCAATGATTGGATTTTTCACTGTTAGATTTCATATGCATAACGACTATTTTGGTTGTCCAGCTCGACAGAGTATTTTATTTAGCAATATAAGTACCCTCTTTCTTTCCATTATTCGCAAGAGTTTTAAGAGCATTAAGCGATATATATATATATATACGACGGAGTATTTTATTTAGCAATATAAGTACCCTTTTTCTTTCCATTATTTGCAAGAGTTTTAAGAGCATTAAGCGATATATATATATTTTGAGAGAATTCTTTGAAGCTACATTGCATTCATTTCCTTTATTTTTTCATATAAAAAACTTTGATTGATTCAAATTCTTTTCACCATCTTTATCAAAGTAATTTCCATCTATCTTTTTGTACCTAACTTATTTCTATCATTCATAAAAAAGAAATATTTTGAAGAAAAAGTTTTGAACTTACATTGCATATGTTTCTTCTACTTCTTTATATCGAAACTTTGATTAATTGGATCAAACTTATAAAATCATAATATTCATCAAAGTTTCTTATCTATCTCTTGGTACTTAATTTATTACCATTATTCATTAAAAAAGATATATTTTGAGAATATTTTTGAACTTATATTGTATTTATTTCATTTTTGTCTTCTCATTGAAAAAGTTTTGATTGATTGAATGAAACTTTTAATTATTATATTCATCAAAATTTTTATCTAACACTTGATATATCAGCCTCTCTTAATACTTAATTCACTTTATCATGTATCAAGAGTGGAGTTCATTGTAAAATATTTTCTGATACTTGTGGGTCATATTAATGTCCCGTAAAGTTCAATAGTATGGTGTCATATTGAGATCTCATAGAGCTCAATATTGTATAAGAATAAGTGCTCTTTGTTTATAAGTCACCGAAAGCATTGTAAAGGGTTAAATTGCACCATAATTCAATCAGTAAAGTGAAAAGGCCTTGCTCATGTCATAGATCATTGCGTGGGATTAAACCTTTACAATTATGTCTTTGCATTATCTCTTTCCTTTTACTTATAGCCCTTACATGTGCGCTTATTATTTAAATTAGTCCATTTAGTGTTTACCTAATTGAATTTAGGTTAATTCTTTAAAAAAGTTTTAAAAACTAATTCATCCCCTCTTGGATAGTTATTTTTTATTTATCACTTTAAACTTGATGATTAAATTGATACATATTTTCGTGACATGCGTACTGACGAAGATTTTGGAGGATTCTAGGGTCTTATTGATAGTGCACATAAGTTGGTTGTGAAAAATTAAACATAAAGTGTATTCATATGTCTTCAAGCTTGTGGCATTGACTTTAATTCTCTTGGCTACTGTTAGAGTCTAGAGAGCATTTTCTATAGCGTCGTATGTCAAAATTGTCCGCACAATTGAATCGAATATCAGTGATTGAATGATATTGTATACATAATGTATTAGATAGTATTGAAAACAATATAATTATGGAATGTTATCAAAGTATGAAAACACATAGAGAACAATTATAATAAGATATTAAATACTTCAATTTTTTCACAACTTTTTTATTAGATTGATTATATCCTTCTAACTTAAATTTTACGTTCACCACTATCCCTAATCTGAGTCTTTGAGGAAGACTATAAGATAGGCTCTTGTGAACAACCTAATGGTCAAAGTCTAGGTCAAAGTCTATTTAAACCTTCGAGCAAAATGCAACAAAAGAAGATGAAGAAAATTCCATTCCTCCTCCCTCAATAAGTGAAATGTATTAACTAACGTTGTCAGATGGAGCAATAAAGATCAAAGAACGACAACCACTCATTCTTATACCAATGTTTTTAAGGATGGAAGGAGCACTTTAAGGTGTGCCCCTTCATTACTAGCATATGGTATTTACAATTTAGCCCCTATCTGATGAAGGATTAAAAATCATATTTTTAGTAGATTTTGATAAGATTTTAATAAAAATTAATGAAATATTTGATTAAAATTAATGGTTAACTTTAACTTATATTAAAATTTAAATTTTAATCCCTATCAAATTGCGGCTTAGTCAGCTAAACGTTCTAGCTTGTTACTATCTATCCAAATTAGAGCAATTGGATTAAACCCTTTGTTGATCTCAAAAACCGTTCCTCTAATGTGGCCAACAGATCCCAAGACCTCTCATGTCCAAGTAAGCCATATTCCTGCACGCTAGAACAAATCGTTAGCCACACACGGCCTTCTCTGGTAGGGGTGGAGCCGGTCGTGCACGCTCTGACGGTTAAATCAATTCTAGGAAGAAATGTGTAAGTGTGGGAGGGCTTTTAACGTGAGTCTCCAATATAGAAATGCGGGTCGATATTAGGAATAAATAAAGAATGTAGAAAGTCAAGTTAAATTATCAAAATTTAAACTTGTATTACCTCCTGAATGACACAAAGTGTGAACTTTTATAGTATGAGACAATGAGCGAGGACTGTCAAATGAGAAGACACGTGGCCTCAACCATATGGGTATAACTTCACATCATGAGCATCAATCAATTCCAAACTATTAATGTCAGTACCAATTCTTCTTCCATAAACTATAGCCTTTGGCAGTAGAATTGACCAAGTAGGTTGGTTGTAGCGATGGTGGCAGGGAGTTATCACATCAGTAATTTCAATTAATAGATTCATTTCCAAAGATTTCCTGCCAGGCCTGTTCTTTAGTTTCCTTTAGCCTCGCCCCATGCCTAAGAGGCTCATCCTCAAGAGTTCAGCAGTGACATGGGCTCGGCCACCTCACAAGTTCGTCCCACGGGGCTCTACCATGAGATTTTAGCCACATGGCATGTCTTGATGAAGTCAACTGCCAATGTTATAAAAGGCATAACACCCTTAACATGGTGAAAACAACTTATACCAATGGAGTCAAGAATTTAATCTCCCTTTAATAGCTTAATTCCCATTTGGATTAAAAAAATAAACTCTTAACACGTATCCAAATTCAATGCTAAATTTGGACTAAGCATTTATATAAATACATTAAATATTATTTTAAAATAGTATTTTCTTAAATCCCATCGACTAAGCATTTATATAAATGCATTAAATATTGCTTTAAAATATTATTTTCTTAATTCCCATTGACTAAGCATTTATATAAATACATTAAATATTGTTTTAAAATAGTATTTTCTTTTCATCAATCACTCTAATTTGGACTAAATAGAAGAGATTCCTTGTCAAATGAATACATCTTATGTTCAAACACGTGAAACATAGAATAAATCAGAATATTGATTATGAGAAAGAGAGCATGTAAGCAATATGGGAATAGGATTTAAGAGATGTTAAATGTATTATATAAATCTTGTTTTAGGATTGAAGAGAGGTTAAATATATCACATAAATCTTGTTTTTAATATTCTCTGACCATATGTGCATATTCAAAAATGTCGCTTGCATAATTTTATCTGATCTAAATATAATATTGAACCACTTCATCTTCAAGTTTAAATTACTGATGATCAGAACGTGTATTCATTTAAATTTTATCTCAAATAATTTTAACTGTACATTTTATTGCCGTGTGAAAAATCCAGTGGGAAACTAAGGCATTAAGATTCTATTCCAACTACAAAATAATCTGAATAGTTTCTAGAATGAAAAGGACTTGAATAACGTAAGTCGGTAGCCCACTCCACACTTGAATATGCTATCTCGTTTCGTGATGCACAACTTGCAGGCCATTCTTGTCCTTTACCCATTAAGAGTCATCACATTTTATGTCACAAAAAAACTTTTAATTTTCACTTTTGTACGTTTTTCCCTTTTTTGTTGAACAATCACTTTAGTGAGTTACGCGTACAAGAAGATTAAAGAAAAATTAAGGCTTGAAAAAACGAAGAAGAAAGAATCTAGTTGCTTGTACGTGTGCTACGCGTACAAGAAGAAAATTCAAACCAAGATAGTCAAATAATGCTATTTTATTTAGACTGATGATGTTCACCATACACTCCAACTATTATCTTGTACAGTTGGATATTGATGTAGAACTAACGCTAGTCTATAAAAGAATTGGTTTCAATTACACTTTTGCTAGTTTTCTTCGAGTAAGAACATTATACTCATTTTCTTGATAGTGTAATGGCTGGGGAAGAAGAAAATGGGCAAGATGGGTACACTCAAGATGGGACTGTAGATCTAAAAGGGAACCCTATTCTTAGATCCAAGAGAGGAGGATGGACTGCTTGTTCTTTTGTTGTTGGTATCTCTCTCTCTCTCTCTCTCTCTCTCTCTCTATTTCTCTCTCTTTCCACTACTAAGTGGTACTCTATCTTTTCCTACTTGTAAATGCTTGGAAGGGCCATATACACACTTTGTTTTCCTATGTTTTAGGAAATCTTAAGACCTCTTTCTTCCCCCCAAAGAAAGATTTCTGTGCCCTATTGGTTTTTCTTTAACAATTAAGTTGAAAACAGTATGTTTTCTTGTGTTTCTTTTCCTTTAAAACCAAAATTTCTTATTTACCTCGTCCAACCAAAACTAAGAAAATATTGCCATGTGGCCCACCTTTTTTCCCTAAAAAAGTTAGATGAACCAAGAATCCCTAATGACACAAAGAAAGCACCACAACTTAACCTCGACACTTCGCTCCATACTTCGTTTCGAACTCACAAAACTCGTAGTGGAAAAAGTCTTTTTAAGGCAATTATCACTACTTACGAATCTAAACATAGATTACGAATGGGTTGCGACCTAAAGTTAGGTTCAAAGTTCAAAATATAAACTAACACCTTTATGTCATTGTAGCTATTTTCCAACCAACTAGCATTTAATTGAACAACTCATATGAAGATAGTATATCTTTATACATTTGTAATTAGGTCAACAAAATCGTCGTATCAGACTGTTGACTTAAATAAATGACTTTTGTTATGTGCAGTTTACGAAGTTTTTGAACGAATGGCCTATTATGGGATATCCTCGAACCTCATAATTTACTTGACCAAGAAACTGCATCAGGGCACAGTTGAGGCAGCTAACAATGTCACCAATTGGGTAGGCACTATTTGGATGACTCCTATTTTGGGTGCATATGTCGCAGATGCTCTTCTCGGTCGTTATTGGACTTTCCTTATTGCATCGGCAATATATCTCTTGGTACGTCACATAACATGTTAATTATAGATGATCATTTTTTTAGAGTATCACTTCTTTAACACATTCATGCTTTTAAACTCGACTTAAACATTAAAAACATGGGTTAAAAGAATTTATTATTCCGTTTGATTCCGATTCTTTGGTCACAAAAATGAAAAATATGACCATTATTCATTATATCAAGTCACCATATTTAACTTTCTATAACTTGTGTGGGTTCTATAACGACTATATTTTTCATTCTTATTTTTAAATTTATGGGAAACGAACGGGCTAGAAACTTTCAAATAAAAAGCCAATTGGTGGACCAGTGCTTTGGGTCACCTTGTTCCTGATTGAACCAAGTGGTTGATTAGATTTTGTTCTGATTTCGATCTGCATGGGTTTCAGCATCTAACTGGACAGGTGTTTCAAGTCGGACTAGCCGGCTTGGCTGATATATATCGAAATAATAGTGAAAGATAGTGAAAGCTAGTAGATTACAGATATATTTTTGACCTTTATTAGGTATGATTGCATTAAATATATTTGAAATTACTCTTAAGGATTGTGAAAGATAATGAGAGATAGTTGAAGTGAAATATCCAACTTGCAATAGGCTGGCTTTCTCGACCTGTGAGGGTCCATATATAGTTTTTTTAATAACATATTCTTCATTTATTATTGGGAATATCGAGAAGGAGATTTGACTTTTTATATTTGGAGTTTTAATGGGGCATTAATGATAACTTTCGATATAATTAGTATTTAAGATTGTTTATCAAACAAACCTATGTTGATTAATGAAATAAATAGAAAATCTTTTTGCATGAGAGGGAATCTTTAAAATACATATGAAAAGCATAATCCAATTGATGCATGTGAATTAACTACCAAGATCATTAATATATAGATATATATTGTACTATATTCAGTGGCAAAGGGCAGCACTGGGACCCAGCCCATTCAATTTTTGATGGGTAAAAAAATATCTTTAGAATCAGCTCAGTACAATTTTTTTTTTTCTTTTTTGGGGTCCCTCCTAAACTTCGCCTCTGACTATATTAGGATAGAAAAATTCTACTTGTACATAATTATTGCACATAATGTGGTCCATAATATGATCTGGCAATCATCCGATTGTTGATATGTAAGTGTGAGATTTGAAATAGAAGTTGGATACAGTGCCATGTGTAATTATGGATACCATTATGTAGACAATTATATACACGTAACACTTTCCTATTAGGATAAGCCACTATGTATATGGTAGCTAAGTATTAATTATAGCGTTGATACCGAAGAGGATCATTTAGTTGTAGCAAGAGCATGAAAAGTTGAGCGTTTCTTATCACAACTTTTTTTGGTAACAAAAGTATTTACCGGTTATTAATTATAGTGTTGATACCCTTTAAAGATGGCTTTAGTGATGAAAAAGTCAATCGACTCAAGTCATTTTTTTTTTCTAACAAATAAAATTAAAATCCTAAATAAGGTAAAATGGAGTAGTTAGTGAGTTTAGTACTGAAAGTTAACGAGAGATTTCTTCGCTTATGAGTATTTTATAATTTCTTCTACATTAACAATTCTTATTCATAGTTTCGAATCAAATATTTTCATTCGAAAAATTTAAGTATTCATAGTGTATACATGTATTCGGGCTTGAATATATACACACGAAAAGTTGACTTGGAAGTTGGAATTTGGTCTTATAAGGCAAGTTAGTCATTAGTTTTCTTACTAAAAAATTAGCATAGGGCCAATTTGGATTTAAAATAATATATTACTTCAGGAAAATCAGCTACTTGACCATAAATATTTGTGTCAATTTTTTTTTAATAATCCATAGGTTACATTATTGTCCAACTGGGTTTTGTCATATGTGTAAACTTCAGTCAACTACTGGTATCTCAATTATTTCTCTCGTGCAATGAATCATGCAAGTGGTTGAGTTATTTGTTTGCATTTAATTAACTCATTTTATCATTAATCATTACTAAACATGTGAATTCTTGAAAATAAAATTTTAGATAATAATTTGGTCACATCTTTAATGAAAATATTAAAGGACATATAATATCATTACAAATAAAAGATACCCAATCTATGTCTCCCATCATTATTTAATTACATGCTAGTTATTTTAATATTTGTTGACCTCGAATTTCAACGAAATCAAGTGAACCACCTAATTATCACATGCACGCTAAAACATATCATGGGGGGTGCAAAGGCCACCGTCCCAGAAAAATGGTTTGATGATTGTTCCACTCCAACGATCAAGTCAACTGTCGAAATAGGGAGGATTAGTGTAAGAGAGACCGTTGAAGTGAATTTTGGCTAGGTTACAATGCATGCAAATTTAGTGAATAAGAACTCACGTACATATAGAGCGAGGGAAATTGGTAAAGGTAGATTTAGTAGAACGGCCCAAGCCCAAGCCTCCGGTTGGCATCCTCGATGCTCAAATAAACTAATGTGGAATTCCTTTCACCACGTGCATGCCACATAATTCATAAATAGATTATTTTTGTAAAATCGCTCGTCTTATTTAAAATTTCTAAATTTCCGTTTCTATGAATACAAATCTTGTGAAATAAATAATTTTTTTTCACCTATTGACAGGGAATGTCCATGCTAACCCTAGCAGTATCAGTACATGGGCTAAAGCCCCCTCACTGTGTGGATCCAAATATAGCCAACTGCAAAAAGGCAAACACACTGCAACTTGCTGTATTCTTTGGTGCTCTCTACACTCTAGCACTTGGAACTGGTGGTACAAAGCCCAATATTTCGACTATAGGGGCCGACCAATTTGATGAGTTCGACCCGAAAGAGAAGGCCCACAAACTTTCTTTCTTTAATTGGTGGATGTTTAGCATATTTCTTGGGACACTATTTGCCAACACTGTTCTTGTTTATATACAAGATACTGTGGGCTGGACCCTTGGATATGGGCTTCCAACTGCAGGCCTAGCGATATCGATTATGATTTTCTTGGCTGGTACCCGATTTTATAGGCACAAGAAGCCCACAGGAAGCCCATTTACAAAAATGGCTAAGGTCATAGTGGCTTCCCTAAGAAAGTGGAAGGTTACAGTCCCAACTGACCCAAAAGAACTTTATGAGCTTCATTTACAAGAGTACACTAAGAAAGGGAAATACCGAATCGATTCTACACCGAGCCTAAGGTTTGTTCTTTACTCTTTTTATCTTAACATGTCACGCCATCTCCAAATTTAGTCCCGATTTGACCCTCATTTCTTAAAACTCATATTCAATCGCATAAACCTAGTCTTTTGATTAACATTCCTTGGCCCAAGTTTTTAATCAGTACCAAGATGGATCTACTACAGTGATGAAAAATTATTTATGAGGTCGACCCTTGATTTATAGTTGGCTTTTAATATGTTTAATGCTTTTACTTATGCAGGTTTCTCAACAAAGCATGTGTAAAAACTGATTCTACTAGTCCTTGGATGCTATGTTCAGTGACTCAAGTAGAGGAAACGAAACAGATGCTAAGAATGATCCCAATTTTAATAGCCACCTTCATTCCAAGCACAATGATTGCACAGATAAACACCCTTTTTGTCAAACAAGGAACTACACTTAACAGACATGTAGTCGGTAACTTCAATATTCCCCCAGCAAGTTTAGC